AATGTGCAGTGACGCCATTTTGTGCAGCAAAGCATGATGGTAGCTGTAGCTCTCGTCCTTTTTCTTGTCCGCTAAAACAATGCTTCTGAAATGTTTTTGCTTTTCCAAATTGAAAATATATGTTTTTTGTCTTTTCTATAAAGAAAGGTACCTATAAAGATATTTAAAGGAGATAATAAGTGTRAAGTCTTCAACTACCATCATGTTTTGCTGCACAAAATGGTGTGGCTGCACTTTGCTTATAGAAAAGAAATCTGTTACCATATTATCAAATTATTTAAAATGTACTGAATACTTACGTATCATCGTCTTCACAGATGACTTTTCTCTTCTTCTGAAACGAAACCATAACATTTTGAAGAAGATGTTTCAGATGTCCCAGAAAAAAGCTTTTGCATCAAATCAAGGTAKAGATTGAGCTTGCTGGAGATTTTCCTTTCACGTCTAGCATAAATTACTCAGACTGCAGCATTACATGGTTAACAACTGTCMCGCTTTGAGGTACAGATGGCGCGCACAGGAAAATACTAAAAATTGGAGCATTAACATCGCCACATTCAGGGAATACGTTGTAAATCAAGCAGGCTAGCTCTTGCTTCAAAGCGAGATAGTGGATGGCCTTGCTGTAATATGCGCGACCAGGACAATTACTGACAGGTATCTACCTTGCGCAGAGGTTAAMAACTGTCTCGTTTTGATACAAAGATGTCACTGTGAACCACTATAAAATGGAGTATTGATATTTATTGCAATAATTTATACTTGTGTATGCTTACTTTCAGTGCTGAGCTTTCGGCTGCTTTGCAATTGACTTTGCTCTTGGCATTGTTTTCTTGCATGATGTTTTTCTCCAATTCGCTATAGATTAACACAATATGTTTTAGAATACTATAAAACGAGGTTACTGAATTCAATACAGTGAAAACATGAGAACATATTTCACCTCTCAAGTCTTTTAAGCTTGTCCTATGGAAAACAAGTTCATGTTATTAGTAATAAAAACGAACCAATATTTATTTCATTATAGATTCTAGTCTCAGTAATTCAAGCGAGACAACTAGTAACTTCCATACTTACTGTTAGATTGGCAAACACTGTATACCAAATTTTCTCTTCAAAATGCTTTGTCTGCAACTCACTGTAAATTATAACAATGACGTCAAGTATTGCGAGAGCTAGAGAACACCTGACAATGTGTTTGATTCGTGATTACGTATAACTTCCAGTCTGTTTTTCTTTCTCTTGCAAGTTAAATGGATTTCATAAACTCGTGAAATACACTTAGCGTTCTACACTGTTGTTTAGCAAGTTGTTCGTCCTTTTCGTGTTACAAACTTTATTACATTTGGACTATTACACTTTGATTCACGAATTAATGAAATACACTCTATCAAAGTATATATATAACTGTACCTTTGAAGCTCAGCCACTTTGGCCTGTTGATGTAACATCAGCAATCATTAGTATTTGATTGAAGTTATTTGTGCTTATTTGAAAAGAATGATATCATCACTGTACTTACATTTAGTTTATCAAGCTCTTCTTTGAAAGCTTGTTCTTGAGACGCCGTAATGATTTTGTTCTCTGCTTCACGATCACTACATGGATAATGCAACATATTTGATGATATCATTGCAGATGCATAATATTATACACATATGGCAAGACGCATCAGGGGGATTAGCTGTAGCGCTAAAAATGGAGTTAGTTTGGAATTGAGTAGCGCAGTTTATTTTCATTAAAATTGATTGCGACAACTATCTTCGTCATCGTTTTAATTGATGTTGTCACATCTTGTTCTAGTATACAACTCTTTCATTTTTGCAGGTTGAAATGCACATATCAAGAGTCCATTGAAGCAAAAAACATTGTAGCTTTACTCACCTGTGAAGTTTAATCTTGTGCTACGGATAAAACGTACATAGAATTAAAATACAATAATCATTTGTTCCCGATTGCTTTAATGATTTACAGTTGTATTCATTTGATAGTGCAATGAAAATGATTATTCATCTAGTAATTCTTGGTTAAAAACAAGAACAGAACAGAAACAACAATCATACAAACAGAAGCAAAAGAAAACTGATACTAGCAATATGCTATATGTTTTCTGCCCGTTATTTTTGTTGACCAATGTATATCGCCGTGGGTACCCCCAGCAAGTCAGTGTACTTACGTTAAGTTCTTTTATTGTTGTCGTCAAGKKCTGTTCATGTGTATTKCGCTCATTCAGTTCGCTGYAAATGATCAAATTACAACATATCATTAAACCATATATATCACCTAGTCYTTGCTAAAATTAAGATATGCCGTTTCCTTTCTCTAGATAAATATTAATAACTGTACCTTTGAAGCTCAGTCACTTTGGCCTGGTGATGTAACATCAACAACCATTAGTTTTTGATTGAAGTTATTTTATCATTTATTGGACAAAAATATTGACATGATCGACTTACGTTTAGTTTGTCCATTTCTTTTTTGAAATTCTTTTCTTTTACTTCATTCTCCATCTCATGATCGCTATCATATAAGGAGAGAGAGTGGAGGGATTAGCTGGGAGTATACAGCAGGCGGTACCAAAGGATATCGTTATTTTGATTGTTTTCATTTACCACGAACAACTATTAATTGTCATCGTTTTCATGTAATATTAAAAATGTACGAGTTTCAATCGCTGTTGCCGCATTTTATTCTACTGTACATGCTTCTATACATTTTTGCAGAAATGCACATGTCAAGTGCATTGTATATTGTAGCTTGACTCACCTTTTCTGTTTGAGCTTGAGCTGTGAATAAAAATATATAGAATTAAAACAATAATCATTTGTTCAAGTTGCGTTACTAATCTTTCACGTTTTTGGGGGGGTTATTTTATTCGACCGATGTGTATCGCCTGTGGGTACCCCCAGCAAGTCAGTGTACTTACGTTAAGTTCCTCTATTGTTGTCGTGAAGTGCTGTTCATGTGTATTGCGCTCATTCAGTTCGCTGTAAATGATCAAATTACAACATATCATTAAATCATATATATCACCTAGTCTTTGCTAAAAGTAAAATATTCCTGATTCGACACTTTAAAGAGCCCGTACGCATCAGGGAATGAAGGAAGTTTACCAGGCATTAGGGGAAGGGTCACAGAACAGGGGCGTGTAGGGATGGGTTTGAATACTTCAGGGTTACTCATAATACAAACGTGTAATTTCTATCGCTATAATGGATATTATCATTAAACTATTTTCATAATATACCATTTTCGTCATCGTTTTTCTGTACTGATTTTCTTGTTCAAAGCCCAAACAATTTAATGTTAAGCCCAAACATTAAAATGTTCTAATGGTAAAGAGCTCAGAATACATCTTACCTTTCAAGGCGTAGGATCTTGTTCTGTGGATAAGAAGTCAGGAATGTTAATTAGAGGCGCACAAAACTAATAATTACGTTTTTATACTTATATCATATATTGAAAGTATTTTCCAATATTG